TTTACAGTATACCAGTATAACCTGAATGGTACCCAGGGACCATATAGACCAGTATAAACTGGTACCAAGGGACCATATAGATCAGTATAAACTCAGTGGTACCCAGGGTCCATATAGACCAGTATAGCCTGAATGGTACCCAGGGACCATATATACCAGTATAAACTCAGTGGTACCCAGGGACCATATAGACCAGTATAGCCTGAATGGTACCCAGGGACCATATATACCAGTATAAACTCAGTGGTACCAAGGGACCATATAGACCATTATAAACTCAGTGGTACCCAGGGACCATATAGACCAGTATAGCCTGAATGGTACCCAGGGACCATATATACCAGTATAAACTGAATGGTGCCCAGGGACCATATAGATCAGTATAAACTCAGTGGTACCCAGGGACCATATAGACCAGTTGGCAGTATAGCCTGAATGGTGCCCAGGGACAATATAGACCAGTATAAACTGAATGGTGCCCAGGGACCATATAGATCAGTATAAACTCAGTGGTACCCAGGGACCATATAGACCAGTATAGCCTGAATGGTACCCAGGGACCATATATACCAGTATAAACTCAGTGGTACCAAGGGACCATATAGACCATTATAAACTCAGTGGTACCCAGGGACCATATAGACCAGTATAGCCTGAATGGTACCCAGGGACCATATATACCAGTATAAACTGGTACCAATGGACCATATAGATCAGTATAAACTCAGTGGTACCCAGGGACCATATAGACCAGTATAGCCTGAATGGTACCCAGGGACCATATATACCAGTATAAACTCAGTGGTACCAAGGGACCATATAGACCATTATAAACTCAGTGGTACCCAGGGACCATATAGACCAGTATAGCCTGAATGGTACACAGGGACCATATATACCAGTATAAACTGGTACCAATGGACCATATAGATCAGTATAAACTCAGTGGTACCCAGGGACCATATAGACCATTATAAACTCAGTGGTACCCAGGGACCATATAGACCAGTATAGCCTGAATGGTACCCAGGGACCATATATACCAGTATAAACTCAGTGGTACCAAGGGACCATATAGACCATTATAAACTCAGTGGTACCCAGGGACCATATAGACCAGTATAGCCTGAATGGTACCCAGGGACCATATATACCAGTATAAACTGGTACCAATGGACCATATAGATCAGTATAAACTCAGTGGTACCCAGGGACCATATAGACCAGTATAGCCTGAATGGTACCCAGGACCATATATACCAGTATAAACTGGTACCAAGGGACCATATAGATCAGTATAAACTCAGTGGTACCCAGGGACCATATAGACCAGTATAAACTGGTACCAAGGGATCACATAGATCAGTATAAACTGAATGGTACCCAGGGACCATATAGACCAGTATAAATTCAGTGGTACCCAGGGACCATATAGACCAGTATAAACTCAGTGGTGCCCAGGGACCATATAGACCAGTATAAACTCAGTGGTACCCATGGACCATATAGACCAGTATAAGTGAATGGTACTCAGGAACCATATATACCAGTATAACCTGAATGGTACCCAGGGACCATATAGACCAGTATAAATTCAGTAGAACCCAGGGACCATAGAGACCAGTATAAACTGAATTGTACCCAGGGACCATATAGACCAGTATAGCCTGAATGGTGCCCAGAGACCATATAGACCAGTATAAACTCAGTGGTACCCAGAAACCATATAGACCAGTATAGCCTGAATGGTGCCCAGAGACCATATAGACCAGTATAAACGCAGTGGTTCCCAGGAACCATATAGACCAGTAAAGCCTGAATGGTGCCCATGGATCATATAGAGCAGTAAAAACTCAGTGGTACCCAGGAACCATATAGACCAGTATAGCCTGAATGGTACCCAGGGACCATATAGACCAGTATAAACTAAGTGGTACCCAGGGACTGTATAGACAAGTATAAACTGAATGGTACCAAGGGACCATATAGACCAGTATAAACTGAATGGTACCCAGGTACCATAT